ACAGCAGCATCCTGGTCATATAGTCTTGTGTTTGTAATTTATATAGTCTATCAGCCATCTCCTCTTAAGTAAATTACTTTCACCATTCTCACCAGTTGTGTTTGCAATAGCCAGGGTATGTTAGATATTTTCAGTTAAATAGACTTATCATCAATTAAAACAAGATGGCATAAACACATAGTCATCACTTAATTCGTAATCTAATTTGCCTGTCTTGTTTTGTTTTGTTAGGTTATGCTTTGTCTGCACTGAAAAAATGTCACCTGTATGTAAGCTAACTTGCTAAAAATGTTAGTTATATATCAATAAATATACGTCAATAAAATGTTAGTTCTTCAAGGAAACTAAAGGGTTAGATAAGCCTTCAAAAGCCCTGGTGTCATTTGTTTTCATAGCAATCACCTGCACCAGGTGGAATGATACTGGTCCCCGCCCTCAGAGAACACAGGATGCAAATGCTCTTGTTGTACATATCAGGTTTTTAGTCATCCTGTGGGAGAAGAGACAGCTGACAGTGTGCTTCTGCTTGCAAATACTAAACTACAAACTACACAGGCTGGAATACGCTAGGGAAGAGGCTTCAAATAAAATCCAATGTCCAGAGGACCACCATAGATTTCGCTACAGAGATGCCAATTGCAGAATTGCTTGGAATGCACTTTGACATGCAGCTCCTGGGCAAACTGACTCTATCCGTGGCCACCATGTTATTTGTCTCTTTGGTTTTCAGATTCTACAACTCCAGGGCACGAAACAGACGGCGGGGAAGTGAAAGAATTCAACAAAGGGGTGTGCAAGCAACCCGAGGAAGCTACAGTGCTTGCAATACTGAGCAAGAACCACAGAGCAAAGCTGCAAAGGAGGAGTCTGACAGGGAAAATCATTTTCAAGAATCTTCAGAGAAACCCTTGGAAGAAAGCCTTAAAAATGCCAAGTCTGCCTTGAAAAGGGGTCAGCCTGAAACTATGGGCTTGGACAGTTGTGTAAAGGAGGAGCCTGCAGGTAAAGGCAACTTAATTGAGGATATAACTGAGGCAAAGAGTGGCAAACCAAAGTTGACCTTAAAACTTCCTGGTGTGACCGAAACAGGTCCAGGAAGTCCAAGTGGTCGCCGATCTCCAGTTCTAATGAAGAAGCTGGAAGGTGGCACGGGTGTTGGCAGGCAGCTGAGGCAGGACGTTGGTCACCAGGGCATGTTCTCGAGTTTTCAGTCAAAGGCAGAAATCAAAGTAGAGAATGCTGACCTTATATTGGATGGGCCAGGGAATTGTAGAACGGGCATCCATGGAAAGATCTATGAGTACTACGTGGAGTCCTCATCTCATTTCATGTCAGATTTAAGCCCCATCAGGTCTGTCAGTCCGGTCTATGGTCAAAACAAAAACAGCACTTCACAATCATTGGATTTACCCGGTTTTAAAGACTGCTCCCGAACGCCAAGTCCACAGCCTTCTAGTTTAATAATTAGAGATCTTGAAATTGCTCCACAAATTACTAACGAGCCTACCTCGTTAGCGGGAGGCCTCCCTCGTAAACCGGAGACTGTGCGGTACAGCAGGCAAGTAGTCATCCGTCAGGACAGCTATCTTACTGCTGCTAGTGACTCAGAGCTTCCAATCCCCTTGCCTACACAAAGGACTTTAACACCTCGCAGCTGTTCTCCAGCACAACCCAATGACATCCCTTCAAGCCCATTAGACTCTGATATAGCAAACCTGGATGCGCCGGAGGAACCACAAGTCAAAACTGTCGCCGGAGCAAAATTCTTACACTTTCCAGAGAACATGGGGAATGCAGAACTCGAGAGTCTAGCAGGGAAGCTCGATTTAGGCAACTGCTTGGAGGCTTTAACACTTGCTAAAAAACACGGTCACACTGCCCTTCAGCAAGCTGCTCTCCGTGTCATGTCTGATAATTACCTTCAGGTCCTCAGAGACCCAGGCCTGTTTGGCAGGCTGAAAGCAGGGGAGCGTGATCACATCCAAACACAACGCATGAGAGGAAGGAAGTGGTTAGTGGTCGCAGATATGGATTCCCCGGATTGGAGTAGACGTCCGTCACAGTCTATGTATTTAGAGTCTGAATCAGTTAAGTCATCCAGTATTTATTACTACGATGATTATAAGGACACATGGCACCTTCACTCCCACATTCCTCAGGAAGTGTTATCTAAAGGTTGTGCCATGTGCACCATGGATAATTATCTATTTATCGCTGTGGGTTTCCAAGGCTCAGACCGTGAAGCGACCCCTTCAAAGAAAGTGTACTGTTACAACCCAATGACTTCAATTTGGAGTGAAATAAGCCCCATGAATGAGGGAAGGCCTCACTGCAAACTCGTGGCTCTGCAGGGCCATCTTTATGCAATTGGAGGCGAATGCCTATCAACGGTTGAGCGCTACGACCCCAGGACAAACCGATGGACCTTTGTGGCACCTCTTCCTAATGAGACATTCGCCGTAGCTCACAAGGCCACAGCCTGCAATGGTGAACTGTTTGTTGCAGGGGGCACGTTGAGATACACCCTCTTGCGCTATAATCCCAAGACCAACACATGGCGAGAGAGCATGATTGTGGGCAGTAAGGACAAGACCACAGAAATAGTGGCGGTGAGGAACTTCCTGTATCGTTTTGACGTCAGTCCCCTGGGCATCAGCGTGTATCGCTTTCACGCAGTGGCCCGACTATGGTACGAATGCTCTTCAATACGCCTCCCACATTGCACAGCCTTTCAATGTGTGACTATGGATAATATTATCTATTGTGTGAGCCGTCAATTTACCTTGAGGTTCCTTGCAGATGAGGTATCGCCAAGCTTTGTTGCACAGGATTTGAAAGTGCTATCTCCGGCTAAAGGTATTTTGTTTCCATTCGTCCTTGTGCTACCCGACAAGACCACTCAACAAACTTGTGTTTAAAAAAAGGTCAGATCTTTCAAGAAAAAGGTTGTCTGGTAAGAACAAACACTCAAGACCATATTATGCACATGTTCAAGGAATGTACCTTTTCTTAATTAGTGGCAATTGAGATAAAATATCAAGGCTATTACATCCAATTATTGTACAGCTAGATCACAATTACACAGCACTTACTGATATATAAATCTGCTGTCATAGTGAAAGCTATTTGTTTGTTTAGGCCTTCAAACCACTCTGATGTATAAATCAACCTTTTAATCCTGGAAATGTCTTATGCAAGTGCTTAAAATGTTTCAGTAAATATACCGTTTTTGAAACACTGTGTGGATGTTAACCAATACTGTGTGTAGAATAAAGCTGAACTGCGGTTGCGGAGCAGGCATCATAAACAACATGAATGGCTGCCATTAGTACAATTTATGTATGCTCTCTAATTATATTCATAGTTTTTTTTTTATTTCCTTTTTGCATATTTGCAGTTGTTTCTCTGCATATCACACAATTACATGATTTTTATATAAAATGTTAATCTGTTTGTTGTATTATTTTCATGACATTTCCACAAATTTTGTCATCTTGCCACAATAATGCATTTCCTTTCAGGTCAATGGTTTTACTTGTGAAGCTTCTCTTATTTCATCAAGCATTTTATGTTAACACTGTGTGGTTCTTTGCAAAGACAGTTTAACATCACATGAGCACTTTGGGGAGCCTAGAAGAAACATTTCTTCTCTTTGTGTATTCCATTAAACAATACAGAGAGAACTAATGACTTAATGGGGGTAAGGAAAGAAGAATCTAATGCTTTGCCTCGTCATGCACTTTTCTATCTATCTTCTGGAGAACTGGCAATAAAATTCTCTCATCTATTATAAGTGAGTCTTGGTTCTTGTGTTAGACTTCAATATATAATGAGTTCTGACAAAATGTGTGTTTCCAGCAAGAGGCGTTTGTGTGACCAGGATCTTAATTAAATTTAAATGCAATTATGCTGTCAAAAGCAAAGCAATCACATAATCAATTTATGTTAATGAAAGTATACAATACAATCACCGTGACAATCGCTTATGCATATGTGATCAAAGAAAGCAGGCATGCAGAGGAGTGTGTGCTGTGATGCAATTCCCTGTGACGTATCATTTCTCTCCCTGTGTAACTCTAGCACCATCATGTGGGGGAGATCTCAAGGTCTGATGGAATCACAAAAGAACTAATTCACCACACAAAAAGTCAGTGACACAAATGCAAAAGACACATAGCTGGAATGTTCCAAAGGCTAGCAGAAGAACACAGTGGGATAAAACCTACACAGCAGGAGAAGTGTGAACAGATGGTTGGACGTAAAATATAGTGTCCAATTCCTTGTAATTAAACACTTTGATTCAACATAATTAAACACTTAATGGGATGGGAGTTATGAAACTGCCCTTAGAGTATGTCGATGAATGACTCGGCTATCTGAACTAGCACTGTGATTCAAATGAACTGTTGATTCAATGCGGTTTTAGTGCGATAAAGAAGCATTGTCATATCCTAAAAAAATTGGCAGGTTTTTTGTTGTTGTTGTTTTGGTTAACACCGTTCTCTCTCTCACTCACTAATGTGACCCGCAAATAAACACCAACAAAGAACACAGTCTGACAGATGGAAATACCTGTAAAGCTCAAATATTGATAGACCATTATTATTTCAGTGGGGTTCAAAAGTTTGAGACCATGTGAACTCAGAGCTCTTTGGGTCATCTCTAATCATGTTGGACAACATGATCATCAGGTTTTACACACACTTGTGGAGTTCATGCAGCTCAAGTACTGCTGTCAGTTGCTGCTTTTCACTTTAAATAAAGTGCTGATAATATAATGTAATATAAAACTAATGCATTAAATGCTAAAAGTATTTGGACTAGTGATATCAGACTTTTGGACCACATTGCAGTGTATATCTTTTATTTGACTTTCTGCAAACACAGTGGAACGCTCCTGTTCCTTTTGTTTTAAGTGCCATTGATCAGTAAAACAAGGTATTCCAAGCCCAGTCTGTGAGGTACTGGAAGGCTGAAGGTGGTGAGACAAAGGGTAAGGGTCACAGCAGGCTGGCTGGATTAGTGGAGACCTGCCTGCAGGGTCTGGGTTTCAGTGCCAGGTCCTCGTTGCTGTGCTTGGCAGGGTGCTGACTGCTGGAGAAGCGCTTGGGCATGCTGACGTGGCGAGAATAACAGAAGGCGCCGATGGGGTGCAGAGGGTATGAAGCCCTATACTCGCTTAGTGCGGGCACAACTGCCCGCTGTTGTTCCATATGAGCCCGCCAAGACTCTGCCAAGCCAAAATTAGTAGGAGGGCCTGTGTGTAAGAAACAGAGGGAGGCAGAGAGAAAAAAAGAGACATCACAAGAGAAACATGTTCAAATTAACTGTCTGGAGTTTCTATGCCACTAGCATTGCAACAGTAAAGAGCAAGACTAAAAAGACCACAGAGGGAACTGGGTTATTACCATTAACAAAAACTATTAAAATATTTGTGTTAATTTTAAATAAAGCTGTAAATATTAGATGAAAAACTTTAAATGAAAATTAGAAAATTTAAAATTGTGCTGAAGCACTAGAATTACTAGAATGAATTCTAAATATTAATACAACTATAAAAGAACATACCAAAATCAGCCTATGAATGGCTTACTTGTAATATTTTTACACTGAAAAAAATGTATTGGCGTTAAATGAATAGTTTACTAATAGAAAACTGAGCTGTTAATCACTGAAACAGTATCAAACCAACAACTTAAACTTGACCAATTCGATTCATTAATGAATCACTCAGAACAGTTTTATGAACTGAATCAATAGATGTATTCATTTGAGTCAAACAAACTCTGACTAAAAAAATATTTGTTTATCAGTCAGACATTGTTACATTTCTAATAAGCTTTTATGAGAACAGAGGGCTTTTTCAGTGATTCACCATGTTTTCCTCACACAAAGCTATAGGCTAATAAGAATCGTGAGAATCAATCATTTCTTTGTATTTTTTTAATCTTAAAATAGAAATGAAATCATATGGGTTTGGAACAACATGACAGTGAGTAAATGATGACGATTTTCATTTTTGAGTGAACTATTCATTTAAATCACCCACTGGCAAATAATAGACATCAATTTCTCATTCACATTTTCCGCAGTAATTTTCTGTCAATGCTCAAATAAAAAAATAAATGAAGACACTGGACAATAAACACCAATGTGTTAATATAACTGATATCCATAATGATTTACAGGGATGTTTTCCGAGATTAATTCAAAACGCAGACTGAATTGCATTAAAACCCATCTGGAGTCAAGGGAATGCTTAATACCTTGGATTGGGTGATCTGACCTCTCTGGGAGCCCAGCCAGTTTGAAAGAGTTCCAGGAGCGCAGTGTGGGCAGAGAGGAGGAGGCCTGCCGCCCGTACGACTCATCATAGAGTGTTACCAGACAGTGGGAGGAGGGGACGTCATGATGAGAAAATAACTGCCTTAAGGGAAGACCCTAAAGCATGGATTAAACCCACAGACATGGTTTATCAGACCAGTGAAGGACAGAACGGATCATTCACAATGCACAACTTAATATACATGGCTTGATAATTTATATATATATATATCTGTTATTTGACTGACTGTGCATAACCACACTGCAGTGATGATGTATTTTTGTAGGCAAAACCTGACTTTTTCAAGTTTTACACTTCCGGTTGTATCATCCTGAAATCACTGGATTGATTGAATGGGTTTAAGAGAGTGTAAGAGGCATAAACTTTTGTTGGTGACAGAGCTTATCTTATCTGCAATAATCCAAAGATCAATGGAAAACCCTTTTTTTTTTTTGAGGGAACCAGAGTGACGCTAACTTCCAGGTTGGCCTACAAAAATACATTGCAGCTCTCTATTATACATGAAAGTCACCAAATAAAAAATAACTATGTGGGACAATACTGATTGTTAAATTATAATTTTATAATTTTACCCATATATTATCTTTTTTTTTGTGAACAATTGTTTTTATCAAATAGTTAGAACCTGTATATTATCTTTAAAAAAGCCTAGAAGTTAAACATTGTACCAATATTACAGTAATATGTATTAATGTAAATAGTATTGATTAATGTTTTTTTAATAAGTCCTCATTTTCTCTACAATCAATAAATCAGATCCAAAATGGTGCTAGCTGCTAAGTCGCACTGGTTTTTGTTCCCCAGATGAGTGGTCTAAAATACGACACAATATATATATATATATATATAT